GAGGCTGGGGACAGGGTGGTGTTGCTTTGGGTCTCGGTGGTGGGAGACACCAGGCCTGGAGGTGTGGAGGATTCATACCCAGAGCTGGCTGCTGGTGATGAGTCTGACGCTGGTGGGGACGATTCGTGGACCTGGGAGGGGAGAGGATTCAAAATACAAAAGGAGGTATTTAAAATCTGACATACTATTTGGGTAAAGTAAGAGCTTGTGAATTAAATCATTTCAAATCCAAAACAACAGGACCACTAATATTTGCACACAGTATACGCAGGCCTAGCTCAGACAGAAGTATCAAGCACACACTTCCTGACTGGAGGTATTTACCTTCATGTGTTTTCTTAGGGAGCTGGGATGTGTGTAGGACTTGTCACACATTTTGCAGAGATAAGGCTTGTCCGACGTGTGAACGTGCATGTGTTTCTTTCGGTCGCTGCTGTTTGCAAACCTTCTGTCGCAGCCCTCAAACTCACACTGGAACGGCTTCTCTCCTGCAGGAAACAAATAAAGAAAACAGGAAGAAAACAGTCAGATATTTTACTGAGAGATGCCTCGGGCTGAGTGTGTAACAACAAGGAGTTTCTCAGATCATTCAAAGTGTCAAATTTGAATGTAAAAGTTGAGTGTAAAGTCTTCCCTGAATAAAAAAAAAAACAAAAAAACCCCCCCAAAAAATAAAAAAACATCCACAGCAATCACAATTTTAAAACTCTACTTATCAAAGCACCAGTTGTGAAAGTTTGAAGTGTATTTTTTGTAAATGAGATGGTGGGGGGGGGGAGTTGCTACATCTTATTTAGCCTAAATAATGCGCATAGTGATTATTTGAAGAGAGGGGGTGGGGGGTGGGAGAGAATGAGGAGAGAGGGGGTGCTGCTGGTGGTGGTGGGGGTGGTGGACAAGGCCGTCCTCAGTGGGCCTACAGAAGGCGTACCATTTGCTGAGAGACAATAAAAATCTAATTAGCACCTGACCAATTCCATGGCACCGCACCATCATGTATTCCCCAAGAAAACAGGTCCAAATGTGAAAGGCTGGTAATGGCCCTGTCTAGCACCTTATAGCTGCTGTCACAGGGACGCAGGACAAAACAAAAGGCGCATAAACAGTACTACTACTACTACTACTATTACTACTGCTGGTGATGGTGCTGAGCTCCGATAAATCTACACCACAACTCATAACTCCTACTACACACACACACACACACACACACACCCCTACAGTTCAGAAATAAATCCCACTCATCTAGTGTCACAGTGATAAAAAAAATCGTCGTGATGTGAGCCATAAAGCGCAGTATCCCGAACAAGCTACATTAAACCAACTGAGATGATTTACTACCATTGCAGCTCCACGATTCATGCACGCAACGCGCTCCCACAGTCCCCTTTGACCCATTTTAAAGTTTACCCCCCCCCATCCCCATCCCTCCCTCCCTCCTCCCAAACAATAAAACATCTACACACGTTGTTGATGTGTTTTCTACGCGTTTCGAAAATGTTTTACATCAGAAGAACTGTTAGAAAAAAAATTATCAATACTCAGTGTAGCCGTTTAGTGAAGAGAGGAATTATTCCACTATTCTAAACTAATTTACTCTCCCTGGATGTGAGCCTAATTCTACTCAATCTGTTTCTACTTTCTTGCTATCTACTTTAGCAGCCTGAAATAGCCGCTTGATAAGCAGATCTTCATTTGTGTTTGTCGTGGCAGGAACAGCACAAATAAAGAAAATGCACATGCACGCTATAGTAACAGCAATAACAGCGACCTTGCTATTTAAATAATAATAATTATAATAATAATTATAATAAAATAATAATAATAAAAGATGTCACAGCGTTGTGATAATTACCTGTGTGTGTTCTCTTGTGTATCTTCAAGTTTTCCGACCGTGCGAAGACCTTTCCACAGCCGGGGAAGGGACATGGAAAAGGCTTCTCCCCGGTGTGCACCCGAATGTGGTTAACCAGTTTGTATTTCGCCTTGAACGGTTTGCTCTCCCGGGAGCAATCCTCCCAGAAGCAGACGTGGTTGGTCTGCTCCGGTCCACCGACATGCTCCACCGAGACGTGCGTGACCAACTCGTGCATGGTGCTAAAAGTTTTGTTGCAACACTTCTTTGGGTTGCTGAGCTGCTCGGGGTCGATCCACTTGCAGATGAGCTCCTGCTTGATGCACTGCTGCCTCATGTAGCGGAAAAAGGCACCGGGGTGGTGATGGGCTGCCATGTTCATCCCCATGTTCATATTCATGGAGCCGTACTGGTTGTGGAGCTGCGCGGCCGAGTAAGGGTCGGTCCTCGGGCTGGAAACCTGGTGGTATTGGTCGGAGCGTCCGAAAACTTCTCCGGGTAGTCCGAGCCTCATTTGCCCGTTCAGGACATTCGGGGATCCGTGGGACCCATGTTGGTCGTGGATCCCGGGGAACAGAATGTGGCCTTGTGTGTCTGTGTGGGAGTGGTGAAGGGATCCCGCCGTGGGGCCAAAAATAGTATGTTGGCTGCTCGCCGGAGAGGATTCTCCGAAGCCACGACTACGAAAGAGAAAGTCCCTGGTGGAGTTGAAAGGAGAGCTTGCATACGACGTGACATGGGCGGCGTGAGCCCCCAGAGCCGCAGCGGGGTAGCCCGGCGCCTGGGTGGTGAAGGCAGAGCTCTGTCCCGGAGAGAGATCATGGTTCAGCTTAAACGCACCCATGTGTGCGGAGTCTACAAAGCTATTTTGTGCCAAACTCAAGTCTCTCTCCTGCATCTCGCTCGCTGAGTGATGCCTGGCAAATGAGCCCACTCCCAGTCCGGGGAACTGGTGACCAGCATCCAGTAACATTATTTCAGAAAGCGAATTTCTTTTTGTTTAAATCAGCGCAGGGCTCAGAGCTACAGAGGAGAAGTTAAAGAAAGAAAAAAAAAATAAATCAAATGTTGATGCTGGCGCTCAACGATTCAACTTCCAACCTTGGAAACACCATATCAGGTGTGGTTCAAAACGCTGCTCCGATCATGAGAGGAAAAAAAAAATCAGCTCGGCTTATCGAAGACTGAATTTACTTCTAGTTAACTTGTGACTGAAAAATCCAAATGTAACGAAGTGAAGAGTTTCCTCGTGTCCTCTCCTCTGGACTGCGACAGTTGGTTGCGTTAAAATGCACTCGAAGAATTAAATAATTATCTTACTAGGTGTCCTCTGCGTACACTGAGCGAGAGTAGTCGGAGCATCTCAAAAAATCGCTGTTCCGATTGGGCATGTATTTATTTCTCTGGGCTTGCCTGTGTTTATCGCGGAGGGTCCCTGTTTCTCCGTGGACTGGCTCTACCTCCTCTTCCGCCCCCTTTAACTGGAGCCCGTTCATTCATTCCTCGCAGTCTCATTGGCCACTGCGCCTCATCAATCCCAGGTGCCCCTCCAATAGCAGGTAGCGCTTTGGCGACTTAATAGCGCATCGCCATTTTCCACTAATAATTACCGCCTACTTTTAGGAGAACATTCGGGGGGTGTACGGGAGATAAGGAGCACGACAAGAGAGAGGAGCGAACGTGTTTCTGTTGTTTATATTTCGTAGGTGCCAAGTTGTAGCGTGTAGAAATGATAAAAATATGACATCTGATGAGATGGAATAAGATAGAAATATTTAGATCGGGAGGGAAAAATACATGTGGTGGCTCAGGAAACTGTCATGTGTTGTTGACTTCATCTAAATATTATGCAACAGCTTCATGTATTTTCCACTTGCAGACTAAAAGAAGGATTATACTGTTATACTATGACCTGCATGGAGCCGTGCTATTAAATGCATACCATCAATTAACCACCGTGACAACCATAATGACACTATCTACTCACGCAAAATGTTCAGTGCGCATGTCAGAATAACTGCAGAAGAAATGTAGAATTACATGAAGGCGTCTTTACTTCTGTAAAGCAACATACGCTGTCTGGATATTCAATTCTATTCTTCACTTTCAGAGTGTAGCTTCTGAGGGCGCATCAAATCCCTGTGGCTAAACGCGTGGTAAACAGGTTCTGCATTAATGTAATAATGCAAAACGTGTTTTTTTAAATTGTTTTTTGAATAAAATGCTGAAACACCAATTTTAAACATTAGTACAAATCTCAATAAATGCGTCATTTGAAGCTACTTATGGATCTTAAATGATGATAGATCGTAATAAACTGTCTAAATGAAGATGTAGTTTATAGAATCATTCAAATCTGACAAAAGTCTTCAGCCACTTCATTCCTCCCAGCTGAAAATAAAATCACGTGTGTGTGTGTGTGTGTGTGTGTGTGTGTGTGTGTGTGTGTGTGTGTGTGTGTGTGTGTGTGTGTGTGGCTCCATATGGAGTCCAGTGGTTTTTCTCTGGCTGTAGAACCACAACTGGGCCTTTAGTGGTGGTGCTCCAGTGCTCACACTGGCAGCCACCAGTGGCGGTTGGTTCTTTTAATGGTTCCATATGTTGCTGGTTCTGCTTCCTCGGTGGTTTTCACATTCACCACACCAATTAAGTTACATGTTATGGTGGTGAACTGCCGCCCAGATCCGAGTAAATCATTAGTGACCTGTAAGGTCGAGCCTTCCCTGAACTCGCAATAATGAAGTTTTAGTAATAAAAGTCATGTCTTTGGTTAGATATTGAGGTAGAGTGGTGCGGTGGTCTATATGTTTTGTTTTATCCCCTCAAGAAAACAATAGGCCACATCCACACAGCCACTGGGTCTTTTTTTACACTGTTAACGAACAAGTTCTTCATGGGATTTCCTCTTTGGTTCCCATACAGGCACAAATAAAAAAGAGGGAAGTCTTTTTAAAAAAAAACAAAACAAAACAAAAAAAACACCGATTTGCTTCATTTTCTGGCAACTTTCCATCACAAGCCTGCACTGAATCTGCGGTCAAATGGGCATATATATATATATATACACCCACACACGCACACACACACACGCAGGCCATAAACCACAGCTGCTGATTCAAGTACAAGTCAAAGGAAGTTTACTTACATTTTCACCAAATCAAGATCCCACCAGCTCTCCCCGCTCTGCGCCTCTCTCAGCTCTCCGGTGCTCCGACTGTAAACGACAAATAATGGTGAAGGCGAGGGAAACGTTTAAAAAACTTCTTTTTTTCTTTTTTTTTTTTTTTTAGAAATAGTGTGTCTCTTAGCTCGGAGTGGGACAGGCTGAGCGTTGTGTGCCATTCTTCCAAGTCTATTTCGACCCGCACCACAGGAAACGCAGGAGCTGATCCAAGTTCAAAGTCACGTCTGCCGACCCCTATAAGAAGTTCTTTATTTCTCTGGAAAACCACAAAACCTTCCCCAGATAGGGAAAAAAGCGAAAGAGAATTAAAAAGAAAAAAAAATCAATCGGGTAGAGGCACATGGCTGCGGGTTTTCCCTTCTGTGTGGGGAAGAAAGGGGGTCTAGTCTATTGAAAATCCCCCAAAGACCAGTATTTCAACAGGTTTTAGGAGCAGCAGTCCACAATGAGACATGGCCTACAGATGTAAAATATAAATCACATAAAATATTACTCAGGTGGTGATCTGTGCAGTTAGAGCTGACAGGAAGTAACAGTTTCATATAAGATTATCAATAAAGTCAATGGTCTTGATGATATAAAGGCGCGTTGCCTGGATGTGTGTTCTAATGGGGGCCAAAGGCACATTTCTCCTCTCTGTTATCTGACAATATCAATATGTTGACACACTGGAAGGTTACTTGTGTGGCTTCCGTGACCTTGTGTTTCATGGGTGTTTGACCTATGACCCGTTAAGACCACATATGTTGCCCCCTTGACTCCTTTTGGTAAAATAACCCTGTTTATGACAAAGCGTTTTTGTTTTAGAGAGAGGGAGAGAGAGAGAGAGAGGGAGAGAGAGAGGGAGAGAGAGAGAGGTGTAAGACGTCCCCCTCTTTCGTCTGAGGCATCAGCAGCTTTAGGTTATTTTGGAAACATAAGTCAATAGTTTGAGTTTCTGTTTGTTGCTTTAGATATTTCTTTTTTCTTTTTTTTTTTTTTTAAATTTTAAGACATTTAACTTTCAATGTTTATGGCATCTCAAAATATAAAAAAAATAGGGGAAAAAAGTTATCATCTAACATATGAATTTGTGTTAATTTTGTAGGTGTATGGATTATGTCTCATTTCATTTAATGTGTATGAGACAGGGGCTCTTAAACAAACCATAAACAATGCACCCACTGCTCCTCAGGGTTTTATGGGTTTCCAGAAGCTCGCTCTGCACCAGCGCATATTTTATGAAAAAAAAATCCCGAGACAACAGGACACACATGTGATCCTGGGTATTTTTTTTATTTTTCATTTTTTTGGTAAATTTTAAATTCTGATAAAAACATAAATGTGACACAGATGTGTCATTTCAATGAAAAAAGCTGTGAATAAGCAATAAAGTGACAGAGGAGCAGAAATAATCTCAACACCAGTAAAGAAAGAGAAATTAAACTATCTTGTTTGACTGTAAATTAACACATTTCTTGTTTGTATTATTTGTATAGGACTACAACAGGTTATAAGACAACTTGAGAAGTTTTGACATAAAACGTATTTTCAGAGCTTCGCTTCAGTTTCTTCTCATCAAGTTCATAAATCAGTTTCAACACGTGCAACAGGCCCAGAACATGCCCCCCCCACCCCCCCTTCAAGATGCAAATCAATTATTGCTGATTAGCACTATGTTGATTCATATATTTTCAGTTGATTGTTGTTGTTTTTTCAAGTTACAGAATCTTTGCACTATAAGATGACGTGATGGTCTGCAGTTTGAGGGCAGCTATCACAGATCGATTGGAAAGGTGTCTGAATGAAGACATATCAATGACAGATCCACGTCCTGCTGTCAACAGGGACCATTCAAACGGCGTGACCCGTCATATGAAGTGAGCTTAAATAGAGTTTAACAAGTGTGTGTGTGTGTGTGTGTGTGTGTGTGTCTGCGTGCCAACCTCATTACACACGATCACAGAAAATGGGAAATTATGTTTAGTTTATTTGCTGAAAAAATAATAATAATTACATGACACCTTTTAGAGGAGCTGCCAAGAAATTTACTGAAGTAAAATGACAGATTACGCTGTAATAGTCTTGTTTTAGTTCACTGTTGAACGTTTACACTCACAGAGGTCTGTCTTAAATTGTAATGTGTGTAAGCCAGGACTTCAATTATTTTAATGGGACTTTTTATTGAGGAATTATGAAAAAATGTCTGAACAAATAAAAAATTCAAGACATTTTTATTGGTTTTTCCCAACTTCAGTATTATGCTGTGATTAGGATGACAGCCTACACTACCCAAAAGCCCATTCACAGCTTCTTTAAATTCAAGTGCAGTCGTCTTATTAGGATATATAAATCAGCAAATGAAGAGAATAGATCACATCCATATGATACTGATGATGATGATTAATAACCGCTACGGGGAGAATGGGTTCAAATGAACAACACCTAAAAAAAACTGCAAAGCAGATGCAGCCCTTTTCCTTACGTGTTTTTTTTATTCATTTTATTTATTAGATTTTTTTTCTGTATTTCATTTTTTCAGTAAAATAGTTTGTATAATTTAGGGATGCACTGCGTTCCCACAGGTGCGCACTTGTTCTTTTGCATTTTCCTGACAGATCATGTGTCTCAGGAGCTGCTTGTTGTGCAGATGCTTCTTGGTAACAACAAAATGTCCAAAAACCAAATAAATAAACTTCATGACCGACGTCTTTCTTACACATCCACACATGGCCACATGTTTTACACATGCCACACACATCCATGCACCATGCACCATGCATCGCCGCTTTATTTTCTTTTTCTCTCTTTTTTTTTATCTATGGCAACATGAAATCAATATTAAAACACTTGGACAAACCAAACCAGAGATGAACTATCCCGCACTTGCCAGACAAACTGACATTTCGGTCATCCACATGCACCAGCACCAGTAAACAGAAAGCCGCGCAAACAGAACTGCTGGTAACTCTGTGAGTACAACTTTTTGGAGTCAACAGCGATAAAGAGAGTGAGGGGGCGGAACCCTGCTGAGCCCCTGCGCTGAACGACAGCCAATCGCTTCGTTCTCCTAACTGCCAGTCACCGAAATCCGTCCAATACCCGCAGTGCCATTTCTAAACTGTATTCCCCACTGTGTCCTCCAACTGTTGTATGTTCTGCCAATCGCTTGAGGACAGAGTGGGAAAAGGAGCAAGCAGAGTTAGAAGCCGGACAAAAGAACTTATAGACCCCTTATATACATATTTTCCTAATGTTTTAGAGAGCGTGGTGTGGTGAAAAACAATTGCGGTGAGTGCGGATGGACTTGTCAGTGTAGTTATGGAACCCCCTTTAAGCAAGAGGAATCCAGCGATAAGATTAGCGGATTTGGCAGCGACTCAACCCCTTCCTCATCAGAATATGACAGGCTTCCCGGGGCTAGGGGGGCATCACCCTCTCTCCCACCATGCCCACCTCCACCCTGGGGAGCTGGGCAACGACCCCGGAGTGGCACTCACTCCATTTGGACCAGAGCACATGGCACAGACAAATGCTCTCAAACTTAGCCCATCTCAGCACATTCAGAGCCATCCCGAAGCCCAGACCGCGGCATCTTTCACTTCTGCTCAGACCACAGTTGGTTTCCCCGTGGCTCACCCCCACTCAGGCTACTCAAGCAGCAGGGACTTCATCCTCAGGAGAGAACTCTCAGCCTCTGCTATGCATGCACTTGGCGACCAGCATAGTTCCGCCTCCTCCCCTCATCACCATGGCATGTTCATCTCCCCAACAGGTGCTTATGGGCACACGGAAAGTGGGGCCCATTCACTTTTTACTGGACTTCACGACCAGGCGTCCCCAGGTGCCCACCACCATGCCCTCAACGGGCAGATGCGCCTGGGTATACCGGGGGACATCTACGGCAGGCCAGAGCACTTCGGGCACAGGCCAGAGCACTATGGACCCTCTTCTCTCCACAGCTACAACTCCATGAACCTCAATGTGAACATCGCTTCTGCTCCTCACGGAGCGGCGGGGGCGTTTTTAAGATACATGCGGCAGCCCATAAAGCAAGAGCTAATCTGCAAATGGATTGACCAGGAGCAAAGTCAAAAGAAGCCCTGCTCTAAAACTTACAGCACCATGCACGAACTGGTCAACCACGTCACGGTGGAGCATGTCGGGGGACCGGAGCAGAGCACCCACGTCTGTTTTTGGGAAGAATGTCCACGGGAAGGAAAGGCTTTCAAAGCGAAGTACAAACTGATAAACCACATCCGAGTTCATACGGGAGAAAAGCCCTTCCCGTGTCCTTTCCCGGGTTGTGGAAAAGTGTTCGCTCGATCGGAGAATTTAAAGATTCACAAGAGGACTCACACAGGTCAGTGCTTGTAATTGTGTAAAACTTGCACACGGCAATCTGAAAGAAAAATGTCACTTGATCGCAGGGCATTATAGTCGATCCGAGGCGACCTCGTTTTACCATTCACATGCTTAAAGCGGATGGACAGTGCGATCGTGCGTAATTGCGCGCACAAGCGAGCAAAAAACTGTTTTATTCAGTGACGCATTCGCACAGCGAATAAAACGTGTTTCATTTCCTTTCTTAAATATAAACTTTTTTTTTTACTCGCCGAGACGCCTGCGGTAGGCGTGAGAGGATTAGGGCATATGATTTGTAAAACGTGCTTACGTACATGCAGGGCAGCGCTAGAACACGCGTAAATGTAATTATCTTCAGGCGTAGGACCTTTACGCAAAAGCTCAGTTTATATATCGACCAGTCGTGCACATGGTTCGCGATATCTTAACGTATGCCAGGTTTATTGGTCGTAAGCACTGGTTTACTGTGAGGAGCAGGAGGATACAACAGGATACAACCCCAGTACTACTGTCAGGGGAGACGTGTAATCCATCCGGGTATAGCGTCCAACAAAAACTAACTGCGTCCTGGTCAAATGTTGGATAGAGTGGCAGAGAGTTTACACCTCCAGACAGTGAGTCTGAGACAGTGAGAAGACTAACTTCAAGCCAGGTTAGAAATTCCCAGAGTGCTCTTTTCTGAGAGGTGTTTTTGTTGTGGGTCTGAGGGTCCTGATTTGGCTAAATAAAAAAAAAGAGGCCAGTTTTGGCCTCATGCCACCAGTATAGATAGGCCTCTACCCCTCACTGGATGACGTGAAATCCCGGGGGAAATAAATAAGTCATCCACCATAAATAGAAGTCATCAGAAACTGTTGTTTATGATTTTGAAAGCGTGCAGTCCAATCCAATCCAACATTTGACATGTGTGTCATACGCAGGCTGTAAATCTAAAAAAAAAAGAGCGTGTTTTTCATTTTCTGTGTGTGTGTGTGTGTGTGTGTGTGTGTGTGTGTGTGTGTGTGTGTGTGTGTCTGTGTGTGTGCGTGATAAGTTATAGCAGAGTCCACCACAGTACATAAACGGCTCTGTGGTCTCCTGAGTGCCCTCTCCTCGCCCCCCCCCGCCTCCCCTCCCCTACACATACACACATATATGTAACCAGAAGGCCTAAAGGCATGTTACACGTGTCCACGCAGGAAAATGCTTTGGACAAGTGGGTGTGGAGCAGTGGGCTCTATAGTAGATGTTCAGTGAGTAAGCTCAAGCTGAAGAGGAAGCCCCGGTGGAAGGCTGCAGACTGCTGCACACAGCAGTTCATGAGGAATCGGCCTCATGTTGTATTTATTCAATGTGATATAAGCTGTTCATGAACTTATGTGACTGTATGATGATGTTGATCATCGTTTCTAATCATGTGATGTGTGTGGGAAATGTACAATCCCTGCAGGGAGACAGTTGTTAAAGACAGTGGCATTATTGCACGTGGCACTGACTCCATCTGTTTCTTTCTTTCTGTCATTAAAAGGAGAGAAACCTTTCAAGTGCGAGTTTGACGGCTGCGACAGAAAATTCGCCAACAGCAGCGACCGGAAGAAGCACTCCCACGTCCACACCAGTGACAAGCCTTACTACTGCAAAGTCCGCGGCTGTGACAAATCCTACACGCACCCGAGCTCGCTGCGGAAGCACATGAAAGTGCACTGCAAGTCCCCGCCGCCCCCTTCCACCAACGTCACCTACATATCCCCCACAAACCCTCTCGGAGACCCCCTCTCGCCAGGCTCCGAGCCGCACAGGAACCGCTCCGCCGCGAACCTCTCCCCTCAGGTCACCAACCTCAACGAGTGGTACGTGTGCCAGGGGAGCGGGGGACCCAACCACCTCCACACACCCTCCAGCGACGTGCCAACGTCTGAGTCGGACGATGAGGACTCTTTCAGAAATTCAGACCCGAGGACAATGCTCTGATGCCCCCGTTTACCACCACGTGACTGTCAAACTTGTCATCTCCAGTTGACCCATTAAAGTGTGTAGATCCATGCTGGCCCGCGCGCCTGGGATATCGATCAGTTATTTTCACTGTAGTATTATTAAACGACTGTGCTAAACGCAGCTAATACGCATTTACTGTGGATGCAGTGCAGCCCAAATTACACGAGGAAGAAACGCCTCTGATGTGACCCCTGACCTTTCTCAAAATGTAGATGGGAACTGTCAAAATAAAACATTTAAAGTGACATAAGAACTGAAATTAAAAGGTTAAAAATCCTATTTGAAAAGAACCAAATTTTTTTAAAGTGAGCCCATTTCAAACTGAATTATTGTTGTTATTATTTTTTTTCCAAAAGCAATATGCAGGGTTTAATTAACTGCATGTCTAAAGACTCAACTGGTGTTCTGAGGTGACATCTTTCATGTGACCTCCCATCATCCCCTTGCAGTTTAATAACTGGGCTGCTATCAATCACTGTCAGATTCCAGACATTTAAGGAAAATTAATGGTACTGCTTCTAACACCACAAATGGCAACAAATAGTTAATGGACAGAATCTATAGTGGCTGGAGTTGAGACTTTTTTTTCCTTTGTTTTTTTAATTTTCATTTCATGTAATTTCTCTAAGATGTGGTACAAACTTTGATAAACCAATAAGGAAAAAAAAAGAGGAGGCAAACATCTGGGTGTCTTAAGGGTTCTCATTTACCTTTTCAGATTTATACAATACATGTGTTTGGATGGAATTTTGTAATATTTAAGAACTATTTAAGACTATATTTTATGCACAATACACAAGTGTTATGCTCGTTAAAGAGTACGAGTAAGTCCCATGAGACCCTAAATGTCTACACTGACAGGCTTTGACCCTGTAGGATTTGTATATATGTACCTGTACTGATGCTTGTGAATGTTGTGTAGTTTTAATTACAAAAAAAAAATGTTGTTTTGTACATTGTAATTTATTTGCTGGTATCAATGTTGTACTGGAATTACAGAAACACCAAAGAATAATAATATCAGTTTTGGTGATGCGTAGTACCCTGCTGATGTTTTTTGTTTGTTTGTTTTTTTCTTCAAACTTTTGTTGAACTTTTGGTTTTGTTTTCAATTTTTTTCCATTTTCAATTGTGTTCTGTAAAAGAAGAAAACATTTACTTGAATAGGCTGTGTAATGTGAAAAGTCCCTTTCTCGCATGCCTTTTGTAGTGATCTGTCTTTCTCTTTGAGGTGCATGGTGCTGTTGGACATGATGGAGAAAAGAAAAGAAAAAAAAGATGATGAATCAGCTATGATTGTCCAGACCCTTGATGTTCAAAATTAAATTTACAATATAAAATTCTTGCTAAAACTTAATTTAAAAAAAATACCAGGACATATACAGTAAATAATTAACAAGTGTCAAATTGTTATAATGTATGAGTGGTTTTGATTAATAAGGATTTTGGACATAAGAAAATTTACAACATAGAAATGGAGTGTTAATACATAAATTCAGCTGGACTCTGGTGATTTTGAGATTGCTACTTTTTTGTAAAATGTAATTTTAGGAAGCTGTACCTTTCTTGTCAAATGATGACATTCTTTTTAAATGTGAACTGTAAATAAGAGTCAACAAAACGTCAATGTCAGTGTCACTTCAAATGAAAGAAAAAGTAGAAGCAGCTCTGTTCACTTCTTATCCTGACATTTCTATAAAATACCCACTGTTATCTCAGACATGGGCCTGACGGGCCAAGGAGGCTGGTATAAACTAATCACTGAGCTAATGGGAAAACTTATAGCCCCCTGATGGCGCTACCTCTGAAAGGCGCGACAGCACAAAGCAGCCGAGGCATGAATCATTCATGGGAAAAATAAAAGATAAAAAGATATCTGACAATAAGCAAAGCCTTGTATAGAGTGTATAAAACAAGTTCCCCCTCTTATTTCCTCCATTAAAACGCACAAGCTCACTTTCAAAGAGTTGCCTGTCCAGTCTATAGAATTAAAATTGACCAACGCGAGTCCTACACCACTTCAAAGGCTGCAGCTTCTGCGAGGAAGGCTGGCCGCTTTGACACTCTTCATGGTGCGTTAGGATTTCTATGGCAATTGGGTAGTGAGACGCTCACATCTGAATATGTCTGCCCGAAAAAAAAGGAAAAAAAAAAATAACACTAACTGCCACTTACATGAGCTATAATCAAAGCACAGGATGCACCCTCTCCAGAAAACGTGTGTTGCCACAAACGCACCGTTGACAGGTAGATGACACACACGCTCTATAGACAGCCTGGTTACATTAGTCTGCAATGAGAAAAAAAAAAGAATAACAGCAACAACAACACGTTGATTATTCTGCTCTTCCACGCTACATCTATTAGGACACACTTGACTCAGGTCAAACTGGAGGATGCTGGGCCATAAAAAAAAACAAAAACACAAAAAAAAACGCACACACTTAACTCAGCAGTGGAGTGCGAACAATCTCAAATATTAACCTAATTTTACAAGAAGCGCTTCGGCAGCATGAGGAGGCTTTAATAAAAGACAACAACCGCCTCGCTGTGTCTCGCTGCAAATACAGGGCTTTTATCAATCTTATAGCTGTCCTCTGAGGATTTCTATAAAAAAAGAAGACACTCAATCTGCTGCTTCATTCACAGTAGCACAACTCGTGGGCCTCCTCTCGTTTTGTTCGTGGACTTTTATAGGAGCGAGGGCCCGAAGAGGAGCCTGCTCTTGTAGGTCCCTGTTTGGAAACAAGTGCTCAATGAATGTTGCAAAATAAACACGATGAAAAATAACCAGAGACAGTTCCTTCGACATTAAAAGGAGGGGGACTTAATAAAAGGAGTGAAGCAGTCACCCTTCAGTGAGAAACGCTTTGAAGTAGAACTTATTATCTGAGAAATACTTTTTGGTTGTCCTAACGACGCCGCTGAATGGGAAAGGCGCTCCTTTGTCAGCGATTTGTTCTCCTTTAGTGGGATGCCCGTGGAAATCACTTACATGGGCCACCTTAACATACTGCCTGCAAATCAGTAACTGGCAGAGTCAGACATGCAGACGCCACTTTGGAGAGGACAAAGCAAAAAGTCGCAGTGAAAACGCCGCAGCCTCTCAATTGCGCCCTTTAAAGGGGTTGAATGATAATTTCTCAGACGAGCGTAGAGCCAAAACAAATGCCGTCTTGTCAGACTTTACAAGCATTATCCATCTCCTGAATACTGTTGGCACAATGCGCACGAAAGTAGCTTGTGAAGTGATCATTTTTTTGTCTCAAAAGTTAAAGAGTCTCCCTGTTTAAACAAAAAAAAAAAAAAAAAACGCGCGTCATTTGATCCAAGCACCTGCGCCTGGACACGGCAGTGCGCTTGGCTCACCTTGACAGCAACAGAAAAGTGGTCAATTATTGGAAGGAAAAAAAAAAGGGTGGGAGTGAGGGGGTGTAGTAATTATTTCTTTATTTATATATATATTATTGAACTTCAGTTTTTTAATATTTCTGAACAATAAAGCAGGTGTGGAGAGGCCCACCCCCAACCCCACAACCCCCCATCACCTCCAACAACCACCACCACCACCGCACACACGCACACACAAACGCGCGTGCGTCTAGATATCAAATATAGCAGAACAGCAGCACCTTGTGACAGCTTTGGCCCGTTTTCCTTCAAACACAAAATAAGATCAAACTTCTCTTGTTCCTAGACGCGGCAACTGAAGACTAAGAGCTGACTGATGAGTTGAAGTAAAGACTCCTGGAAACAAGAAGAGGGGATGTGGGTAAATTAATCTGTCAGTGGGGTAGAATATATTTGGCATATTTATTCTCATTTAGTAAAGTCACAGCACAATATGAGTCCAGCCTTTTCTTTTAAAAGGGGGGGAACAGTTTCCTTAGTTTTTAATGTTGCCTTTACTTGTAATCAAGAAATCACAGTCAAGATTTTACTGCTGCTTTTCACTTCACCCCTCCAAATCCACTTTATAGAGGACAAGTAAAAAAAACAAAAAACAGGGGTTGGATTTAACGATAATATATTATTTGTGCGCTGTCAAACTTTGCTGTGAAGCCAAACAGCGATCTAAACCGATGTTTCTAAATAACCAGGCTACTGTAAACTAATACATTTAATGTCCAGTCACTTACATTAAGGTGCGTCTTTGCCACAGAAGCAAACACCTGTTTGTCTGCTGCAAGTCTAAACTTTCTCCCAGTGCTCACACTCTCCTCTTTCCTTACAAACACACCGGTTTAACGGCCGCATATTTGCCATCCAGGCATTTTGCCAGCTGCCTACCTGCGTGGCTACAATCTTAAGTTTCATGATCAAGTCAGGAAAAAACAACGCGGTTCCTGTTGCTGTTGCACCTCTCCCGGTGAACTCCACACTCTCTGCCTTCAGAGCTGATTTTTTTTTCTTTTTTTCTTTTCTTTTCTTCCAGTGGAAGCAAAGCGCACACACTCAGCCCTGCTCTGCTCTCTGCTCTGCGAACAGCCAGTGTAGACTGTAAAGTACATGTACTCCAGCCTGCAGGGGACAATTCAGCATCAAGTTAAGGAAGCGACTCAAAACTTGTGTATTTTTCAGGAGAATATCCCTCCCCTCCCTCCCTCCCTCCCCGTGGTTCGAGGATTGTGGAAGCTGAGGGGGGAACTGGAAATTCTTTGTCCGGTTTTACTACTCGGGCTGTCGGACGTGTGCAGGGGGAACATCGCTCCTCTCCAGCCCAACTTCAGCAGCTGTGGTTTCACCTATTAGCCCCGATGTCTTTCCCAGAGGAGTGCGGGAGTTAAACATCTGACAATGGGCGCGCCGGGGGGGTCACTCGACTGACCTGTACTTGGTTTTAGTTTCATAGGAGCTTCATTAAATCAATTACCCAGTGAGCACATCAGGATTTCTGTATTTTTAATAACTCAAATGTGCGTGTGTGTGTGTGTGTGTTTTTTTTTCCCCTGCTCATGTTTCGCGCGCTCTGGCAACATTTTTACACGTAGCAGAGGAGGTGTCTTGCAGGTTCATGCGCTTCTTCAATTATATGTAATCATAACCTGCATGGCTCTGTGTGTTGGGAAGGAGTATAGTTTATTCTTGTTCTGATATTTCTTCCTAACTTTCTATCTCACGTTCCCAGCAGTCACAAAGCAGCTTCTCACTGTCCCTCTGTTTGACATTTCTCAATGTGTTGCTTTCATTTATTTGATTAAGTTGAATAAAATTCATATTTGAGTGTTTCACAGGAGTCAATGACTAAAATATTTTTTCTCAAAATATCTCCCCCCCAAAAAAATCTTGTTGCTCATTTGCCTTTGATATTTTTTTTAAGTAAAACAACATACAAGACTTAAAAGAAGAGAAAGAGATTAAAAGGAAAACAGGTGCCAACATGTAGGCTTCTCTTATAACAAATGTGTACATGTTTGCAATTTTAGCATAAAAAATGTTTAATGTACCTACTTTTATTATACATTATATGTTTTCAAATAAATGTCATCTGTTATTTGTTGTTATTTTTTTTAGTAGAAATAGATTTCCATTGGTCCCCGCTGTAAAATAAGCACTTTGTTCTTTACTTTGTCCCATTATGAGCTGATGATCTCTAACATGACAGGTTAGTGCAACAGCAGAGAGGCACAATTATAAAATAATAACTAAATCATTCCGGGACCAGGTTACTTCACGTGTATCATGGCTACTTTACAGTCACGCACTGCTACTCAGAAGAGGCATGATACATCACTCAGAAACTGACATAATATCTGGTGGCTCAGTAACATCTGTGGGGGTAGAGACTTGGTGCCGGTCCAAAGCCCCATCCCAGGACTGGGAGCCACTCCAAGGCAGTAGGTGAGGAGAGCAAGGTCGTCCACGGACAACCGCATGAGCCAGGCCCTGCTACCTGGCCCTTATATAGCCCACCAGCCAGAAAGTAGAAACTAAAGTGCAGATAAGCGTGAGCATGCTGCCCCAGTAGTCTCTTACTGAATGACAGGGCTTTCCTAAAAGCCTCTAAATGCAGGATGTAGGCTTCAGCGTACTTGGAAACTAGGGGCTGAGCGGGTGGAGGGAAATGGTGAACCATATACTCCATCAAAGAGAACCAGATGGACTTTGTAGTGTAGGA